GATTGACGGTGTTAAGATTTGGATTGTTTAGAACTCTGGTTTCGACGTACAATAAATCGTTCTCTTCAATAATATCCAAGTTCTTAATATGATCCGTAGTGAGACTTGTTTTTTGTATGTACCTATATAAAATTTCTCGGCATTCCTCAATTCTGCGATACTCAATGGGCCTTTAATTCTGTTGTTTATATTCTTCTTTCTGGCATTATACGTGAATCGAAAAAACATTGCGATCATTCTTTTGCTTCGTACAAATGAAGTAAAATATTTCGTGCAGGTTTCATAAGGTACTCGGTTTTCTAATGCAATAAAAATATTAGTGATAGTTTGTTGATTTCTTTCAGAGTCCACTTCTGGCACATGTTCAATGTTGGATTTTGGCCATTGATCAATTGAACAACGTAACCAATCTGGTCCTTTCCACCACTGTGATTGAATCAATTGTCCAACATTGCATCCTCGACTTGGTAAATCAGCTGGATTCATTTCACTAGGAAGGTGTTGCCAGTTTTCAAGATTTGTGAGTTCTGCAATTTCACGCACTCGATTAGATACAAAATTTTTCCATAGTAGGTTGTTTTAACCAACATAAAACCACCATTGAATCAGAATAAAAATATGCCGGAAGATGTGTCCAATTTAAATCTCTAACAATATTATGATATAGACGACTTCCAATTAATGCTGCCAATAATTCCATTCGCGGAATTGTAATACGATCTGTAGGTGCAATTCTATTCTTCGCTTGAATTAATTGTACTTCAACTGCACCTTGATATTCAGAACGCAGAAAAATATATGCTGCATAAATTGATTTTGATGCATCTACAAATACATGTAATTTGGTAATTGTCGATACCACTCTTGAAATTCAACAGTTAACTCAGACGGTAAAGGTTCGTCCCACGAAAGTTTGATTTTCCAAGCCTTTTGTAAGATTAATTTTATTATTACAAGTGTTGGACAGAGAAATCCAATTGGATCAAACACGCTTTGGGCTTTTGCAAGCAGTGTACGTTTTGTGTAACAAATATTGGGTTCAACTTCAATGTTTATATATAAAAGATCATTTTTGGTATCCCATTGTAACCCTAAAATAGATGTAGGTTCACGTTCATCGCCCGTAGTCGCCCACGAATTAAGTTGGAATTTTGCTAATTCCATTATTTGCTGAGCTTCAATTTGGAATTTCTTTGCATCTTTAATATCATACATAGAAACCGCCAGATCATCAGCGTAAAAGCCCTTTTTTAACAACGTAATAGTTGATTCGTTACCTTTAATTTCATTCAAGTGATGTTGAATTGTAGCAGTTAAATGGAAAGATGAAGACGTTAACCCGAATGGAACCCTTTGAAAACGATATCCTGTTATGTTTCCACTGGTATCATACCATAAGAATTGTAAAGCATCACGATCTTTATGATGTATTCCTACCATTAAAAATGCTTTGCGAATATCTGCTGTTATACCAATGGATCCTTCTCGAAAAGTTTCAACATGGTAGCAGAGCGTGGTTCGCTTTAAAGGTTAACACGGTTGAAGTACTATGGAGCATCAAGGAGGAGGTATAGAAAAATTGAGAGGAACTGATAACTGGACTGTATGGAAATTCGCCATTCGGAATGTTTTGCGAGCGTATACAAATGCTTACGAGATATGTAATGGAGATCTCAGAATGCCAGAGGCTCTGAATGAGGAAGCTACTGCCGAGCAGAAAGCAGAATATATTAGAGACCTGAAGATTTGGGATAAAGCGGACAGAGTTGCTAGTCAAGCATTGGTCAAAGCAATAGAACCCAAAATAATGGCATTACTGGTGACATGCAATACAGCAAGACAGATGTGGATAAAACTTCATAGTATATTTGAGCAACAGACCAAACAAGCTGCTCATGTAGTACAGGCGGAGTTCTTTAGTTTTACAATGAATGAGAAAGATGATATGGTAACTCATATTTCAAAGTTCGAAACTCTTATCTTGAAACTGAATGCACTGAATGTGAAACAAGATGACATGTCTTTAGTAGTAAAACTTCTGGATACGCTACCAGATAATTATGATAACTTACAGCAGGCATGGTGGGCCAGACCAGACGAACAACAAACGTTTAATAACCTGGTGAATGTACTAACATCCGAAGAATCGCGAAGAAAACAAAGACATCTACAAAGCGAGGCATCAGAAGAAAGTACAGGAGCACTACTAGCTGGTCGATATAGGAGCAAATCACAGATTTCACATAAAAAGAATACTACAAAAGGTGCAACTACAAAGAAAACGTTTACTTGTTATGGTTGCGGAGGCAAGAATCACATAAAACGAAATTGTCCCAATCGTAAACAGAAGTTTTACAACGAGGAATCTGGAGAAAACGCTTTCATTACGGAAGTCTTGAATGCGGAAAATGACGAAGATTTTTGGATTGTTGATTCGGGGGCCACTGATCATCTAACATATCATGGCGAGTGGTTCTCATCTTTTGAACAATTTAAGACACCAGTCAAGGTCCACATTGGAAACAAGACATCGATGGATGCGTTGGGAAAAGGCGTCGTAGAAGTTAAAACTTTTGTTGATGGTAAAATTTTTGATTTTCGAATGTTAAATGTTCTCTTTGTTCCAGCTGCTCGTAGAAATCTATTCTCGGTGACAGAAGCTTTAGACAAAGGATACGAGTTCAAATCAAATCAAAAGGAGTGCTTTTTCGTCAGTGATGGAAAAACAAAAGCTAAGGGTAGACGAGTTGGTCAGTTATTCACAATGATAATGAAGGTGAAAGTACCAGAGAATAGTTTATTACAATTAAGTAATACGAAAGAAACAAACGTGACTTCGAAATTGAAATCAATTCAAGAGTGGCATGAAATGCTCGGACATCAAAACAGAGTACAAGTCGAAAAAGTGTTAAACCGTAACGGAATCGAGTACACCAAACAAGATTTTTTTTGTGAAGCATGTGTAAAAGGTAAGCAGCATCGTAAGGTTTTTCAACTACGGCAACAACGTGCTCAACGAGAAGGTGAAGTCATGAATGTTGATTTATGTGGTCCTATGGAAATCACTTCGTATGGAGGATCGAGATATTTTATCTGCTTTACATGCGATTACTCAAAATTCCGATTGATCAAATTTCTTAAGGAAAAATCAGAAACTACAAAAGGAATTGCTGAAGTCTTGAATTTTGTGAAAAATCAGTGCGGAAGACCACTAAAAATGTTGCGTTGCGACGGTGGAGGAGAATTTAACAACAAAAATCTGACAACGTTGTTAAAATCTGAAGGAGTAATCCTCAGTGTTTCAAATCCATATACCAGCGAGCAGAATGGATGTGCAGAACGCTCTAATCGCACTGTAGTCGAACTTGCAAGAACAATGTTAGCGGCGAAAGATTTACCTAAAGGATTGTGGGCCGAAGCAGTCAACACAGCTGTTTATCTGCTGAACAGAACGGGGCCTAGTAATGAAAATGGTAAATCACCTCTTGAAATATTCACGGGCAAGTCTACACATTTAAACAAACTGCACGTTTTTGGTACTACATGTTTTGTACATAAGCCAAAGCAAGTACGAAAGAAGTGGGACCAGAAATGTCAAAAAGGTATTTTTGTTGGCTATTCTGATGAGATGGATGGTTTTCGTGTTTGGTTGAGTTCTACCAGGAAAATACTTCGTAGTAGAGATGTTGTATTTGAACCAGTAAATTGTACGGACCATTCTAATGAAGAGAAGAGCATATCAAAAATGATCACCTTTGACATTAACCTTGACGAGAAGCCAAATTACGTAGCAGAATATCCAGGAGAGAACATATTTGTTCGGGAAAAAGAAATAGAGCAGGTAGAAAATGAAAATATTGATGCTGAGAATGAATTGCAAGAATCGGAAGAAGATGGACAGAATCATGAAAATATTGATGTTGATGACAATGAATTGCGAGAATCGGAAGAAGAAGATGGACAGGATCAACCAAGATATAACTTTAGAAATCGAAGAAATCTTCATTGCACAAAACGATTAATTGAAACAATGACTGCTGAAGTGGATGAACCAAAGTCCTATCAAGAGGCAATTCAATCACCAGAAAGTAGATATTGGAAACCGGCAATGAAGGAAGAAATGCAATTACTGATAGAAAACCACACTTGGATTTTGGTTAATTTACCACAAAACCGAAAAGCCATTACAAATCGGTGGACATTTAAATTCAAAAAGAAAGTTGAAGAGAAAGTCTTATCAGTGAAACACATTACTAGTGAGAATCAATTAGGTGACATTTTAACGATAAACTAAAGATTTAGGAGGGAATGTTGAAATAAATATAGTTACCTATTCAATTTATTGTAACTATGATACGATAAAATATTTAGTTCATCTGTCATAATTATACAATATACGTTTTCAGTTTATTGCTCTAATAGTTTCAACATATAGTTTGATCATTTATAATATAGCAAGAATTCTTTTTTACGTTCCAAGTTCCACTATTACCATCGACTTTACACTATATAGACAAACAGAGAAATAGGGACAAATATCAGCCGCTGCGAATATTTGCATTAAATAGGAAAAAAATGCACGTACTAATGATGAAAAAATGTTGCATCATCGGTCTATTAATAGTGTCTATATAAATTCTCATTAGCCTATGTGCAATATTCCAAGTTATTTTATGAAAAGACCGGTCCACTTTTGCATTTATGTGTTCTACTGTCACCCAATTGGTAACTCTCTTCAGATCACAGTCTAGTCTACAACAGCAGACGTTTTCTTCTCTATGTAAATCGCACTTACACGGATTTTTGCATTTTTCCCTGTCCATTTGAGATTCTGATTTTCATATTAATCTTGAAGGTGGCCGCCAAGGGTAACTGAAGTTTGGAAATAATTTTATTACTTTTATTCAACTGTAGTCTTTGTAGTATATGGAGAGCCGTCGAGTATCTGTTAAAAATGATTTATGTGAAATTATGGTTGAGTTAAAAAAATACCTATATTTCAATTTTTAAGTATGTTACATCATGGATATACAAAAATATTTAACTATTAGTCAAGTAATTACCATAAACTAACAATAGTATGTTAGAAGCTAAATATATAATGAGGAATTCAAATTGAAAAGTTATTGCCTAATGTAAAATTTGTCTGAAACAAGTGAAAAACAGATTATCGGTATATACAAAATTGTTTGATCCTATTCAGTACTGCCAGTACATGAAATAAATAGGACATTTTTATTATCAATGGATGAACTAATTTGATTCTATTTCCTTTACAATAAGCCTATAATAAAGATTGACCAAATCCCACTTTCCAATTTTACACCTCTCATTAGGATAACTACAAATAAAAGTGATTGTTGAACACAATTCTTGCATTGATAATTCAATGAAACTTAAAAATAGGGGTTACTTAGTATAATATAACAATAATGACCAATCCCTTCATGTCCCCCTAAAGTTATCAGAAACAGATAGAATGCTGCTGTACTTCACAGGCAGAAGCCTTACGTATGATACTAACAAAAATCTCAATTTACAGCATAAAAATATTGCACCCTTTATTTTTTACCAATAATTTTTTTGGGATACAGAAAGAGTGGTCCTAAAACAATTGAATATAAGTTACTTATAGTACACAAGCATACATACACATAAAACGTAATAATTTGCTATTATTATTCTCACTTATAGCCGATCTTCCATGTTGCAGTTAAACTTATCTCTTTCCAAAGTATTATATAAGTTTAACTGAGACAAGAAATATCGGCCCTTTGTGACTTGTATATTGAAAGATTGAAGCCTATTTTACTAAAAGCAGTTTTTAATTCACATTTTTACTTAAGTAGAATTCAACAAAATTAATAAAATCTGGCAGTAGTGTATCTTTACATGTCCTCAGTGGAATAGTGGAATAGAAAAATTATTGTAAATTACTATCGGTAGTGTTTTCTGAACAAAATTGAAATATTAATTTTTCTATTCATTCTCTTACTTCGCAGAAACAGAAGAGCAGGTCTTTCATGTTTTGGTTAAATCCATCTCCCATTTCCTACATAAATAAATTTATTTCCATGGAATAATTTCATTGTGACACGAAAGACAGCCCCTAGCTATTGAACTAATTCTATCTGATTGTAATTAATAAATCTCGTAAAAATTTGACCGTAAAGCTGTACAATTCCATAAATAAATATAAAACTTTCTCATGTAAAACCTACATGTTATGTTATTTAATAAAACAGTTATAGAATTTCTAGTGCCATAGGTAATTTATTGGTTTTACAGTTAACTAAAAGATGTTATTTGGTTACAACAACAAATGTTAAAATAGCATGGTTATTGACTTAGTATTTAGCTATTTTTTATATCTTCATTCATGGAGAGGTATTGTGTCATGCTCCTGTAAAGAATACACATTTTTGAAAAAACGCTTGTTAAAATAAACGTTAACAATTACTAGTATTATCATTTTTATTGTAATTTTTTAGAATGATGAAAAATCATTGAAAGGTAATGGGGTATGCAGCCTGTTTCACGCAAACCGTTACCTAAAAGTTTTCAGGCCCTCGTTGATACATTAAATCTGAAAATTTGCATACCGACATAGTTTTTCATGATCTATCGAAAGAAAATATTATCACGATCGTTTCACTTCCGGTTATACCGGATGTGGATATCCGCATCAAAGGTTTTTCAAAATTTTTGACGTTTAACCGCTTTTTTTAAGAGCGAGCACCCTCTCGAGTTCTGCCGACTTTACAGATAGAAAAGTAGATCTTCTCTCCAACTCCATTGTGGAGTCATTTAAACAAGCATGTTCTCTGAGAACGGCCAACCTGATAAAAACGGAGCTACTTCTCTTCACAATAAAAAGAGTTAGAGGGTCTTCAAGCTCCCTGCTATTCCAAAAGCACCTACAATTTTCAGAGTCAGTGAAATATGTAGTCATCACACAATTGGGAGACTTTGGGGACCATCCTCAAAGGCTGTCCTGAGGCTGTACATTAGACCTATGTTCTGTTATGGTGCAATTGTTTGATGGCCTAGAACCTGACTCTCCTCAACCTTCGCACTTCTTAATCATGTACAAAGACTAGAGTGCCTTGCTTGCGTCCTGGAGGCTGTTGAATAGCAGAGGTATTGAAGTGGGCCACTCTCAAGTTCTGGACAAGGCGATTGAGGGATTTCCTATCCGAGAAGGGCGACTCACTCCTCAATTCATATTAGGGAAAAACTATCACATCTTTTTAGATGAGGGAGTGGCTTCCCAACCAGCATATTTATCTACATAGATGGATCTAAAACATTGGAAGGAACAGTCCCTGGTATCTACTACAAAGAGCTGAACTTCCATATCACTAACTTCCTACTGTATTCCACTTAGAATTGGTAAGACTAACGCTCAGTGCAAGTAATCCCCGAGACCTCTACCGTTTGGTTTATGGTGGTGTTCCATGTCTGGCAGGGTCGTCCTACCTTCCATTCTGAGGCACATTGATTCTTGGCAACTCGTAGGATGTGGTCTTTGTTCCTCCTGTTTATATGTCCCCAGTATCTTATCTGCCTCATGTTCAGTCTCCTGGCAATCGTCTTTTCCTCTAATAGTTCTCTTCTCTGCTTTCTTGTGAGGTTGCTGTTTTCTTTAGTATCCTGAGTGCCTTCCACTCCGCCCTCCTCAATGTTCGTCTGTTGCTTCTTGTTGGCGCTGAAGTGTTAATTCCGTATAAGATTGTCGGTGCTATGATCGTGTTGTAAATTATCATTTTCAAGTTGTCCGGTATTTACTTTTCTCGTAAGAAGTTCCAGATTCCGTGTGTGATTCTGAATGCGTTGGTTATTCTGTCTTTCACTGCATTGTGCCATATGACGGTGCATTTGATAACTTACCTAATTTTAAGTTTAGAATCTTTAAACTTGTTATCCTCTTTAAAGTGGACACTGCAAACGGCATGATTATGATTCGGCATAAAATGTTTGCGGTTAATTCTATTTTTCCATGCTTTATATCGACACTGCTCCTTCTCTTCTCGGGGAAAATTATGCAATGTAACATTGGCCTTTTTCAAATTATTGTTGCAGCCAACAACACAACAGTTAGGCATTAATGCAGATCACTGACTACCAGTCTCAAATTACACGTCAAACGTCAACGAAGCTAGTAGCACTCATATACAGTGCGTTTATCTTAAACTCGAACATACGATTTTGCATGCAATGTTAATGTTCCATTAAAAAAATTCACAGATTTCGCAATCCTTGCAACCATCGGAGACATTGGAAATGATAATCGTATAACCTATAAAGTCATAAATAACCCTTATTCACGTGGAATAATCTTGCTCCACTCGCTCGCAAGCTATCTCGTGTCGCAAACGTAAACTTTCTGAATAATAAGGGGCGTAACATGCTCGTAATACTATAATAATAATAATATACTATACTATTTATGCATAACATAAAGAACGAAACTAGTAGAATCTCCCGTGACCACAGGGCTGCTCTGCAGGTACTTCGCCACTGTAAAATTATCTCTAGGGTGGTTTCCGAATGTCACCATGCGCTGGAGCAAGTAGCAAGCAGCACCACGTTTGAGCTCGTATGGGTTAAAGGGCATACTGGAAGAAAAGGTAATGAGAAAACCAACGAGCTAGCACAACTGACCTCAAAACAGATGTTTATGGTCAAGAGCTGGCTTTTCCACTTACAGTTGCACCTGTACATAGCTTAAGGCTCCTCTGTAGTCAATTTGTATTTCAGTGTTATTGCAATTGGTTAGACCACCAACAATACACATTGCTACATGCTCTCCTTGAGTGAAACCAACGATGTATCTGTAATTCTCAGTTTTGCATATTCTCTTCATTTATTGTTAAACACAATAGACCATGTATAATGATCAAGGACTAATTATGTAAACAAGATTTTCGAAAAGCTGTACAATATTTGACTGGAGATGCACAAATACCTATTTCTGTTATCGTTGAATAAATTACTTATTCAATGCATTTACTGCATTTTTCCATAATGACACCTTCTGTAAATTAACTGGTTTTCAGGTAATTAGTAATTAATAGATTAGCATTGTGTGTTACAACATTTTTTAATTGCCCCTTTATTTCTTGTGATTTGGCCTAATCATTTTTACTGATTTATAGATTTTTATAGTTATTAGGTACATGTGCATGAATAAATTCACTTAGGTATGGTAGATCCTAAAAAAACCGGCACTGCGAACACCTAAAATAAATCTTTCTTTACTTATTTACAAGGGTGAACAACAATAAAAATTGTATGTTTTTCATAAAAATGGTAGCTAACATTTAAAATTCTGTTACAATGATTAAAAGTATAACATTTATACTGATTCTAAATAAATCCTTATCTTTTCAAAAATTAATAACAATTGTACATTTAGCGTATTACTTATTTATATCTATGCACGACCCATGAAGAATTTTTCCGAACATCTTTTGTGGGGTAAGATGACTTCACTTTTTTGCCCTGAATTCAATGGTAAAAATAAAATTTACTTGATCCTCCTATTTTTTGAGGGGCAAATATTCCCGTTGATAAAGTTGATATCAGTCCATATTGAGAAAAGGAGTAGGTAGTAGTAAAAAATTTACCGGTTTCTGTCGCTACATAGTATTGGATATTTGAAAAAAATTCGCCAAGTTGATGTGAAGTTTGTGGGACTCCATCAAAAGGTATTCTCAAACGGAAAGATAAATAGTCGAATTTTTTTAAAAGTGCAAGAATTTTTTTATATCCACCACTTTCACTAACTTGACTTTACATGAGCAAAACAGTGACACTTTGTTTTAAATAAAATTGTCAGTGTCGGCCATTAGTTATCGTATCCCGCTTAGGAATTTAACTAAAAAGGAAAATTGTATTTATATCGGTAGCGTTTCTTTTATATAACATACCACGACGTTTCCTATGTTTATGTTCCGCTAATAAGTGAAAAAATGCCTATGTGTCATTTGTTATCTATTGGCCGCAACTTTATGGAAAGCAAAGGGCATGTGCATCTTTTGCTTTTGGTCGCATTTCTCGAAATAGATAATTTTCACGAAGACTTACTCTTAGTCCAGTATGCAGATCATTTTGACCTGCAAAATGTGGTGTAAAAGATTTTATTGTTTTAAATGGTCCATTTGTGTCCAAATAACATGTATTTGAAGCGTACGCACAAATTGTTTCCCGGCACAACTTTTGGCAGCCAAAAAACCTCAACATTTTTGGCATTTTTTTAGTTTTTCACTTAAAACTCGAAAATGGTCCATATTTTATGAATAATTAAAGAAAACAAAATTATGCGTCGATAAAAAAAAACAAACAAAATCGGTCCAATAGAAAAATTTTTTCAAGCGATCAAAAAACGCCCATTTTTTCCAACGAATTTCAAACATTGGTCCAATTTTAAATTGTTGCTACTTTTTTAACTCTCTGATTGATGTTCTACAATCTTTAGGGAGGGGAGGTAGTGGATTTTATCGTTCCTTTAGGAGTTCATTAGCGTTCTTTCTCACTTCTTTAGAAAAGTTGGAAAAAATGGGCGTTTTTTGATCGCTTGTAAACATTTTTCTATTGGACCGATTAGTTTTGTTTTTTTTTATCGACGCAGAATTTTGTTTTCTTTAATTTACTAAAGAAGTGTTATTCATAAAATATGGACCGTTTTCGAGTTTTAAGTGAAAAATTGAAAAAAGTTCGAACGTTTTGAGGTTTTTTGGCTGCCAAAAGTTGTGCCGGGAAACAATTGGTGTCCACTCTGCAAATACATGTTATTTGGACCCAAATGGACCATTTAAAACGTTAAAATCGTTTACACCACATTTTGCAGGAATCGGCCCTTCTGACTGCTCCGCATACTGGACTATCTGAGGAAACTGATAATTTTAGATGGGAAATATACACAAACATGTAATTTAGTCATATTTGATTTGATCCAACTAAACAAAGTGCTACGCTTCTGGTAGTTTGAAAGCATTGTTATAAAACAGAGTTCATATTCAGCACTACTTATGATATAATATGTGAAGTACCTAGTATTGTACGTACCCCCGCCCCGTCAAAGGGAAATATTATTACAGCCTCATTATAGGTTTTTTTTTATTTCTTGAAGCATCCTGATGGGATGCAAAAGGTTTTAGAAATAAAAAATTATTTCCAATGTACCTATAATAGGATATCCATTTTTCGTCTTGGGAATATGTGACATTATGATTTACAAATCAACAGCATTCAAATAAATAAATAATAAATAGTAATTTATCTAATCCATATCATTAGGAACGGCGTAACAATGTGTAGGGTAATGCCAGGTAGTTTCTTTTGTTTTCCCTTTCAAGTAATGAGTTGTCGCCTCAGGCGTTATAAGTGCAATTTGAGTTGCCTATCCTTACGTTAGCGTTTTGATTTTTTTCTGAAGATCGCGAAACATATTTTTTAAAATATATGCCTTATCATAATAGATGGAAATAATATCTTTAAGTACCGCCGTAAGAAATACTGTCGGATTTCCAAATTGGTGCTGTACCTTTTTCTACCCTCATTACAACGGCTGTTATTTACAAAAAACGATTTTTCTATTCATCGATCTTTCTAAAAAACTAAGACCGATATTTCAATTTTTTTTAAGTACTGCCCTTCTTTTCATCATTGCAAAGAATATCCACTATCGAGAATTTGTTAGATTTCAACTACAAAAGCAGCATTTCATAAGAAAGTTTAGCTATTTTTCCAATATGGCGGATTGACTACAGAGGAGCCTTAATAACTCAAGACACCCAACCTAGCACAGGGAAAGGTGGAACTCAATGCTTGATGCTCGCCAATGCGAGAGAAGCCAGGACCATTTCGAAGCTTGACGGGTTTTTTTGTTGTATCTTTTGAGTAGCGTTCAATTATAAGCCGTTTAATAGTTTTTTGAACAGCTTGGTCATAAATTCGTATGTCATTTTCTTTAATCTATCGGTCTCTCAGACTGGTGCGTGCGCTCAAGTTACAAAATGTAATTAATTACATTGTGCCCTTGACACCTACTATTATTTATGTGAATTTTTTAAAATGTGACTGTTTGACTAATTAGAGTTCGACAGTTTATTTGACAACAGAAACTACCAGCCTAACAAACTTCATCACTTGTTTTATTCTCCTGCGTAATACTTGTGTTTTAACCAATCACAGTGAAGATCGAAGCTTCCCTATGCGCTCTACCGCTTTAAAATGAATATAGTTTACGTATAAAACTATACTTACGCAAACGCGTACCTATTTTTAAGCTGGAACAAGTTTCTTAGGGGTTGCCTCATGTTGTCGTCTTAACCGCCTACGAAATTCAATGGGCAGTTTCTCATAGCACTTCTTGCAAGCGGGTTTTAAATCGAATTCATAAAACTTCGTCTTCTGATTCATTTTTTGATCACACATAGAACAGGCAAAGTGATGAACACACCACGCCTTATTAAGAGCCGTAAAAACTGAAAAATAAAAAATTGCAGACCCAATTTGAACGCACAGCAGTACCTACCATCTCCAGCAATTACTTGATTGCACACAAAACAGAGATTACCGAAGAGTTGATGATAGTGGGTTTCACAGTATGCCAATCCTTTTTTCTCATAATGACGGTGCCCAAAGAATGGTTTTTCACATTTTGCACAGACAAAATGCTAAAATGAAGACATTATATTTTGCGCAAGTGGATAGTGAGAAATCCAACCTCAACGTGCCAGTGCTTTCCTAAGGCTGTAACGACTCGCTCCTCGATTGGTCTACGACAAGCACCACATATAGGTATACCCATTTTATCATGGCATCGTAAACAGTACAGCTCGTTCATGTCATTGTTCGCAAAACCGGGCCTACTTCTAACCTCTCGGGCACTGCTATCAAGTTCAACCCCGCATGCAGTGCAAATAAAATGATACGGATGGTAAACTTCGCCTCGAAACTTTAAAGGCTGATCATCAATCAGGCCACTGCAAAATTGGAAATGTAAACAAGTGGGCGTGTCCACAACCCTAATACTAACTGGCACTTGTGACAAACGTATTTGCCCAAACCAACCGCCTTTACTTTGGCATTACACTCATGGCATAAGGCACGTCCAGCATTGCGAATGAAACCCGAATCGGCTAGCTCCCCGGAGCACATCTCGCATCGAAAACAATTAGGATGCCAATTAGCGTTCATCGCCTTTATCACGCGCCCTATAACAAACTCGCCACATTTTCCGCAGCATGGTGCAAATAAAACCTGAAAATCGTGCTCGCAGTACTTTCTATTTTCGAATTCGTAAAAAATGCCTTCTTTAAACGGCCGGAAACATTGCGCGCATCTAAGAATTCATAGGTAAATACGATAAAGGCGCCGAGAATTATACGTACACAAAACACTGTTGGTGCCATAGCTCTCCTGTGGAATTGACAATTTTTTCGTGGGGCTCAAAACCTTCCCCACATCTTGAGCACATCATGTTATCAAATGACATTCCTCCAGTTAAACTGAAACAAAAAGAATTTTAAAATATATAAATAATAGTTTCAAACAAATTATTATTATTATGGGCTTACATACAAATTCCTTTCAACTCCCTTTTATTTGATTATTTGCGTTGTTAATGTTAACTAAGCAAGAAAATGTTGATTCTTTTATGTTCATTTTTTGATGTTAAATGCATAATTTTAAAACATCAACACACTTTTTAATTACCTTGTGTTACATAAATAATCTAAAAACAGAAGAAAAATACAAAAAATATTCAGTGTCTCTTGTAAAAGATAGAATTTTGAGCTTCTGAAGATCAGCCCTGTTTGGTTGGTGAGATAAATTTACTTTCAAAAAATCACGGCTGCCTTTAAATTTTTCAAAAAACGTTTTTTGTACATTTTTATTATAATTGTCAGAAATATACAGTGCGTTTGAGATAAGAGGGTCACCTCAATGTCTTTTATTTGGCGAGATTTGTCAAATAAAATTTTACATGTGACATTGCTATCTATCCGATCGCATATTGAAACTTCCGGCACGACTTCCGGTTTAACCAGAAATCGACGCAACTTTTGTTTTTCAAATGTATTTTTAAAAAATACATATTTAAAAAGAGCAATCAATTTGCTGTACAACATAAAATATTCATATGGTTGATATACAAAAAATGGAAATATTCTTGATTCAATATTTAGAAATCTAGCAAACCGTGTACCATATCACACAGAAAATAGCTACATCAACTTGTTCAATGTTTCTTTTTGAAGATTTACTTTTGCGCAATACGATCTGCCCGTGGAACACAACGGACACCGCGCATCCTGACAGCACCCGGTATGCTAGATTAAATGTTTTGTAAATATTGAATCAAGAATTCCTCCATTTGTTTGTAGATCAACCATATTTTATGTTGTTGTACAGCAAATTGAATGCTCTTTTCAAATACCTTAAAAAGCAAAGGCATTGACATTTCAAAAATAACAGTTGCGACGATTTCCGGTTAAACTGGAAGTTTCAATATACGATCCGATAGAACGTAATATCTCATATAAAATTAGATTCTCGATTAGATTTGAGATATTTTTCCTATCTCGCCAGTAAAAGAGACATTGAGGTGACCCTCTTATCTCGAACGCACTGTATATATCAGTAAAGTGCTCTTTGGGGATGAGATACGCGGAAATGTTATTACGAAAAGGAAAACTGAGTAAATGTGCAAAATTTCCAAGCACTAGATTTACTTTTTATTTCTGAACTAAATTTTTTTAGGAAATCCGACAAAATGTTACTTACAAAACTGTCCAAATATAATTAATGACCATGTAGCCAATATGAAGAGCTTCAAATTTGCTACACGGTCATTAGGTACATTCTATTTTGAACAGTGTTTTTAAGTAACATTTTTTCGGATTCCCTCAAAAAAATCCATTAAAAAATCAAAGTAAGTAGAGGGCTTTGAAATTGCACGTTCACTCAGTTTTTCATTCTGAACAACTTCTCTTAGTCCACAAAGAACACTTTACTAGTAAAGAACTTTTTTTTTGAAAATTTCAAAGGCACCCTTGATTTTTCGAAACAAATAATGTCACAAATTATTTACCGACCATGCAGGACTCAGCATAGCTCAAAATTAAATTCGAAAATGTTTTGTCTTTTACAAGAGACGACCAATCAGGGGACACTATGTAAAATAAAGCCACAACATGATGGTAAAGAAAAAGCGTAAAAATAGAAAGCAATGTACATGATGAAGTATAAAAATGAAACAGAATAGAAGTATGTTAAAGTACTGAAAAAAGTTGACCAAAGTTGGCTCTGTGAATGTGTGACCACTTTAGAACTTTAGAAAAACCAATATCAAATGTGTATTTTTTCTTTGAAATGGTTAGCGGTATATTCATCAAGCATTCAAATACACACTATAATTCATAAACAAAGACGGACGAACGGAGGGGTAGGTAAAAACCAAAACAGCTGACATAGGTATAGACTCTAAATTTATGCAGAGATCTCTCAAGGTGCTTCTTAAAACAAATGCACTAGCGCTTTTCAAACCACCTTTGATCTTATACACTGAAAAATTCTTTCAACTTGACATATTCAAGGTAGATATGACTATTCACTTACCCACAAACAAATCAACTAATGTCTATTTTTAAAATCAACTTCAGAAAAAAAATGCCGGAAACTCGTGGTTAGTATGATAAAACATGTGTGTAACCAGAAAAATTAAGTACATTCACAAAGGATATGTACAACACAAGTATTCACTTTCAAAATTGAACCAAAAACACTACAACCTCAAACAAAAAATTAAGAAAACCTGTATTTTTACTTCTTCTTTTTTGATTCTGCTCTGTTCACTAAGGAGATACAATTCTGATAAATGTGTGGACAATTTCACTGGTTACAAAACGGCGTATATATAAGACATTTAAAACATGAGTCAGGAAATAAAAATTAGTTGTATATTGTTTAGGACTTTAGGTGACAATACGAATGCCGGCTATCTATATTTTGAAAAGGAAACCTACGGAATATTTTGAGAGTATACTAAGTCAATGAATCCAGCTAAAATATTTTCAAGTTAATGACACTTCCGGTTAACCGGAATTTGATGCCAACTTACTTATTTTAAATTGAACACCACTGTGTTCATATTTTGATTATAAATAAATACAGGGGGTTCAAAAAGGAACATGGAATTGAATAGAAATCCCTTATTTTTATAACTATGTCCTATTAAGCACTGAAAAGAAGGGTTACTTTACATACAATGATAAATCCCTTTGGTTTAGAAACTATTTCATTGAAAGAACTAGTTATTATTTCAAAAACAGATATTTTTTGAGATACATTACTTTATGCAAAGTCACACATTTATTTTCAGTGATTACTCAATCTCAAATCTGTAAAGATTTCCTATTCTTGCAAGAGTTGATGATAAGTCAACTCAAAAACATTCCAAAAAACTAAAAATTTAATCAGTTCTTCCTTGGGTGATGATAAAACATAATACTGAAAACAGAACTGGAAATTTCGAAACCGTTCGCGAGTTATCAGGTAAACAGGCGGACGGACGGACGAACAGAAAGTCCAAAATCATGAGTGAGCTGTGCCGCTCGTTAATAAGTGCGCAGTTCCGCTAGATACAAATAATGAAAACAACAATTAACCAATTAATATCAAATAAAATGATACTGTACCGATGCTTTTGTTTTTGTTCTATCGTAACTTTCAAATCACGAATGTGTAATTTGTCAACAACATTGTCAATAGATCCTTCAGATTGGGAATCTTCGAAATCGTCACCGTCTAAGTCATCGTAATCATGGAAATTTTCTTTGAGCATATTCTCGTACGATTCTACCCGCCTTTGGTATAGCAGACTTTCCCCGAGAGGTTTTAGGTCTGGTACGTCCGGAGATTGATCTTGCGGTAAATTGAAACTGCTGTACATTATGATAATTGCACGTGAAAGTGGAAATGGTGATTAATTCAACTACGATATGAAAGATACTACAAACGGTTATCATTTATTTGTTTAATGATACGTGGATAAGTACCTACGGTATTTTTTAATGATTTTATATATACAGGGTGCGTCTAGGTCTACTGACATTTTCAAAGAAATGTCATTCCTTTCTTTATGTTTTAATTTTAAAAACAACTACAACTAAAGACGTCAAGATATGCGAAAAGGTTTTTTTGTATTATGAAATCAACTAAATTACAAATTTTTACAGCAGAGTTACGCTTCAGTATGCGTAGCCTGTATAAAGTATGTGCACTTCTTTTGCCTGCTACCGCCACCGCGACCGCGTTGGTTGGCGCAGACGTTGTAATAATTTTGATATAAATTGGCAATCCCACATTGTGTTAACTGTTAACTCAATAGTTTGTTAGCACTGCAATGCATAAATTGACTGCGACTAAACCCCTAGCGGTTGGTTTTATAATTAAAAGAAAGCATAGCAACATTTCTTTATTATTTAATACTCTTTTGAAGAACCTTGTTATACAGGGTGTTAAATATGATATAAATACGGAAAGGGCCAATTCTTTGACTTATTTTATGACTAAAAGTTCATACAAACATAAGTCCGCAAACGCTTCGTTACCGATCTACAAGGTGCTATAGTTCTACAGCACATGTACTCGTACACGGTGAGTCAAAGATCGCGCGGAGTAACATAATGCCTTGAGATAAGATTTTTCAATAGAGTGCTTTTGTATTATGATATGGTTGAATATTCTCCACATTTTAAAAATATTTGGAATTATACAGGGTACAGGGTGCGCCCACAAAGTAGGACGCCAAAATGGTACATTTATTTAAATAGAATCGCCTGTATTTGAATGCATTTTTCAGTTCTAAGTGTAATTGTACGACTTTTTTATTATACAGTTAAGATCCGAGAAACTAGTAGTTTTAAAGATAATTCAATTTGTAAGAAAAATTTGGCATTTGCAAGCGTCAGTATATTGTCAAAATTATTACTTAAATTTTGATTCCAGATTTTCGTTTTGGACGAGGCAGATAAAAATTGCATTTTTTTGGATGGCCACCTCGTTATTATGTAAATTACATATAACTTATTTAAGATTAGAATATAAAAATCAGGAAAACCCAAGATATTTCGAAAACTATCAGAGATAGGTATAGGACATTATTATCAAAAGTTGAAAGTTTTTGGAGGAGCTAAAATATGACAGAAAAATATAGGTATTCCATTTAAAAAGTGAAATTTTTTAATATGAAGTTTTGTAACTTTAGACCTACAAAAAACACATTGTAAGCTATTTTTGGATGTTCATAGTAGATGCATTTGTCTGACTTTTACTTTACCCAGGATAAAAGGTATATAGAACCTGGAACCAAAATTTAAGTAACAATTTTGACAATAACGGGTGATCAAAAATGAGTTGCTGTCGAGTGGCCTTTGGAAATTCAAGTTAATTACGATTTCCCATGTAAAGAAAAATTCCAAAGGCGACTCGACAGCAACTCATTTTTGATCGCATGGTATATTGACGCTTGCAAATGCCAAATTTGTCTTACAAATCGAATTATCTTTAAAAATAATAAATATTAGTTATTCGGATGTTAACCATATAATAAAAAAGTCGTACAATTACACGTAGAACTAAAAATGCATTCAAATACAGGGGGTTCCATTTAAAAAATGTACCATTTTGGCGCCCTACTTTGTAAGCGCATCCTGTATAATTCCAAATATTTTTAAAATGTAGAGAACATTCAACCACATCATAATATAAAAGCACTCTATCGAAAAATCTTATCTTCAAGGCATTAAGTTACTTCGCGCAATCGTTGGCTCACCCTGTACAATTTAGACCTTTAATTTATAAACATATGCAAATCCACAATGTACACAATCGAACATGACCCTTGAAAAAACAACGTCTTGTAAATTCTCACTACCATTGACATGAGCATATAACTTTATTTCAAATTTGCGCGAAATATCTCAAAAACAGCAGAAGATATAAAGAAAAAACTTATAAATCTTGTAATTTCAACACCCTGTAACGAAGCGTTTGCATGAACTTAAGTCATAAAATAAGTTAAAAAATTAACCCCTGTGTATTTATAATATTTAGGAACACCCTGTATTAACCAAATATGAAAACATGGAGGTGACCATGAGAAAAAAAATTATTGCCCTTTCAACATTATCACACTTTCTCCAACATATTTCTAATAAGGCCCTTGAAAAATAACTATGTCAAAAGTTAATTTCGAGGTACATGGACAACATTATTACAACCTTTATTTTACACCATGTTTGCATGTACATAATATTCAGCATTGTGCATTAATGCCTGGTGTTGATACACTGTACAGCAGATCATGAAGTTCTCCGTTACTTATGTATTACATTGATTCCTAAAATTGCTATAGAAAAGATAACATAAGTCACTGATAAGTTATCTGATTACACACATACTAAGTATGTGCATTAGGTATCGTATCATAGATATTGTTCCATTTGTATCTAAATAAGGTAAGTAGCAGTACCTAGTCGGATTTTGTGAAGATTTAGTTCATTCCGTTAAGTAAATATGTGCTTGTTGCCATTCCCGAATTCACAATAGAATTAATTAGTTAATAAAGTTATTTTAGTTTATAATAATCAACTTTTATACCTTGGCATAGGAGTTGGAGACATTGTTTTTTGATTATTTTATGGATGTGTGGTAAAGATGAAAATCAAAAGATGAAAATATTGGTGGCAATCTGTAAAAATAAAATCACGTCTTATACAACGATACACGACAAAATATTGTGGGATAAGAAACCTACTTACCAAAAAAATTTCGCAATTAATTCTTATTTATTTATATATTTACACACCCAGTTTTCGGATTACCTAATTCGGCCCACTAAAAATGGTAATATGCAGTCATTTCTTGGCCAATGAACAACGCTCACCAGTTATTCTAATTCGCTATACAGGATGGTTCTATATCTACATGAAACGAAATACAGGGTGTAACAATCAAGAATTTAAAAAAAAGTGTAAACAAAGCTATACATATAATGACAAGAATTGGAAATGAACATGATCAATAGCTCGTATGTGGTAGGAATCTTCTTAAGTATTCACGAGGAAAAACACCAAGTCTTCACCACATTATAATTTAATAAATGTCAGCATTTATTTATTAAATTATAATGTGGTGAAGACTTGGTGTTTTTCCTCGTGGATACTTAAAAGTATAATGACAAACTGTAGAAAATTTTTTATACAACAGTTTTACAATTTTTCTAGTAGTTTATGATTTTTGTATTGTTGTAGATGGCTAAATTTCAGTTGTTAATAGTTAATTTAACAGGAACAGATCGGTATGAAAAAAGCTTTGATATCTTTTTGGCGTTTGCTCGAGACGTATCAAGAATTGAACAAGATATTGTGTATATGTAATGTATCCTTTTCTATTTTGTAAAGTTTTTTTTTTCAAAATTCCTACTCAAAGATTCAGTGACTGTATAAAGACAGTATGGCCATGGTGTTGTTTTCATTTGGTAATTGAGAGATTCACCATGTTTTAACCAAGATATATATCGTATTGGTAGAAATTAACCCGAAAAGTAGTGATGAGGTCACGTGACTGGAATATATTTTTTCTTTTTCTCTAGTGTATTTTTTTCTTAATATTTAAACAATAAAACTAGTGGTCATGTAAACTCCCGACTTGACTTTTCGACTACTTTTAAAAAAGTCATTGTAATTATCTTTGGTCAGTATAACATTTAGAAAATGTCATCTATACCGCCTTTATTTTGCACCAGGCGCAAAAAGTTTGAGGCCTTTTTTGTAGATCTCATCAAGACACATCTTTCTTATAATTAACATTTTTCACTCTGATGCTTACTTTTAGAGAAAACGACAAATATACAAAAATAAAATAGATAGTTTAACTTTTCAATTCAAAACTTCTCAAAAACAAAGGAACTCACAAAAAAATTGCAATGAACTGTTTTATACAGTTTTTTAAGTCATTTTGGGCAGTGTATGTAAAAAAATTTTAAAAATATTTTTCAAGCCGTTATAGCTCTTTTAAACTTTTGACATTCTCAACAACCATGAAGATTGTTACGGATTAAAACCAAAATAGGACGTTTTCGATTCCCCATACCACCCTATACACCCCAAATTTCGTCCAAATCTGTTCAGGGGTTTTTTAATTATCGTGGCCACAAAAAACAAACCACACACCCTCACACACACAGACGTCAAGCTAAAAATCACTTTTTTTGGGGTCTGTGTGCTTCAAAACGTCCAGAAAACGCAATATTGGCATATCAAAAATTTATCACGATTACAATACTTTCCTTTATACATACCTACTTTGTATGTAGTCGGAAAGTAAAAAAGCTTACAAAAGTAAACCAATATTACTTCAGGAGAAAACAAATATACACTTCCTGTTCTTTAAATTAAACAAACTTCTCCGAGGACTTGACCTCTCGACAGACTTCCTAAAATCAAAGCTACATTTCCACCTTGAATAACAATTCCTAGTCGTTGATAATGATAGGTAAGGTAGTGCATTTTAATTGTAGATCAAAATTTAGCGGAAGCCGGATTGGAATTTGAGGATTTTGAACTTACCCATACCACAGATATACGTATTCTTTACGTATATCTGTGCCTATACCTTATACCCAACGTGTAGAGAAAGACTGAGATCAGAGTCGAATGATTCCTAAGGTAATTCCCATCTCTGCCAGAGATGTAAAATTCACCTCAACTCAGGTCCGGATTTATAGTCCAACGCTCTACCACTGAACCATAAAGCCAGCTGGGAGAAGTAGAATTAAAGAGGTAGGTAGCTAGGTTTGTAGTGTTTTGTGTATTTTGACCTGGGATCAGTGCACGCAGCATAACATTTATAAGTTTATGTAGGTACATGGTGTTCAACGATGAACTGAATTAATTGTCATATGACAGACTGTCTATTGACAAAGATAATACTACACTATCATATATCAATATGCTATTGATATTTTTGAGATGATGTACAGGGTGGTCCACATTCGTTGCTCATCATTGGGATCTCCGTAACGTTCAGAAACACTGTGTAGGTTAAATGGGGGCAAATTTGCCCCTTTTTGTGACTAAAATCTTTTGAAAATAACTGAGATATCACCGAAAAATGACAAATTTCGTTTTCCTTAAACTAGCGGCTTCGGCTGCCAGAGTTACGCGTGATGACCACAGAAAAATAGAAGTGTTTTACTCCCGTCCCGTCTAAAATATATAGTCCATTCCATATTGAGCAAGGTGACTTCATAATCCCCTTGATATCGAGCGATAAGAAATAATCACTTTAAAAAGAACTTACATCTTTTATACGATTTTGTACACTTTATTCTTTAAATATGTTTAAAATTTATTTCACTTTTCCAAGTTTCCCTTGATAAAGGATGGGTTCTGTCCACGACATTACAAAGTACGCTAATAGAGTAGCATATTTTATATTCTATGTTGTAAGTGTGGTAATTTAATGAATCGTCCTGTACATATTCACTTTTTGTAACGGAAAATTGACATTTCAAATTTGAAATATCATAACCTCTAAAGTCTAAAGTTTTACAACTACAACTAAAATCATTTCAATTTTTGTACAATATACGTGACATAAATTTGAAAACATTTCAAATCCAGGTACGTATCTACTCCAGCATTTTCTTTTTCTATATAATCGTTAATTTCTTGCAGTAATTCTTGCCCATTATTCAATTGGTTTTTATGGATAAAAACACTAGAAAAGTATTGCAAAGTGCTTCTGAAGGAAATTTTGGTTTCGTATACGGTTGTGTTATTGAAGATGAATCTCTACAGAGAAGCAATATTGCCACAAACATCGTTATAGAATGTTGTCGGGTGTTCACTGGAAAAGCTCCTTTGAAAATTGTTGATAATGATTTACTGAAATTATTACGTACCTGTGTCCTGCACATAGACAGATTGAATGATAAGCTTTGTTTATCGTATTTGCGAGCTGTCTATTTCATATTTAAGTACTGTATGGAAAAGGTAAAACGTCTACTGTTTATCTTCGCAAATTCAATTTTTATTTGCAGGATCGATTGGATATGGTTTTTCAGTTGGAACAAATTACTATAAATAATTTTATCACCTTAGAAAATGAAGAATTGAAGAAGACCTACAATACCATTTGTTCTCTGTTCCACAATGCGCTCTCCAAAATGTCGACATTGACTCAATTTGATAGGAACGATCCGATCTACTTTCAGTTGTGCTTACACGCCTTGAAAATGTATTCCAAGTTATTCGCGAATCATATCACAATTGCCACTAAGGCGTGTAAATATTTACAAGTTTCAAGATGTTATACGTGTAACGTTGACTTACAATGTAAATATTATTTGACACTGTTTGATGTTCTCAAAGCAATTCGGGGAGAAGAATTATTTCCTGCATCTATTAAGATTCTCGAGCTTATTATAAAGAACTTGCTTCGACAAAATGAGTTTGAGACAATCCGAAGTATAGCAGCACAGATTAGATTGTCAATTGAACCAGCGGTGGAAGGTATATCCTTGGAAGTACTCGAAGTGATTTTGTCTGCAAGTGAGCTGCTAGTTGAGTTTGCTACACCCAATGGTGCGAAACTAATGCGAAAGCTTGAGGAACGCCTGCGGAATTTCAGTCGTTATCGTACAAAGTCAGATGAGTTCCAGTATGCATGTAAATTGCTCTACATAATTCTAAAGAAGTTGCTCGACCATTTCACTAGAGCGTCTCCTAGTGATTGGAAATTAAATATGGATGTGGGTGCGCATTTAGCCTTATACAAACTGCTAGGGGTTATAGTGCGTACAACTTCGAAGAGTGATGCTACTTGTCATACATCTAGTGGTCGTTGTGATGTGGATACTAATATACATTTTGCCACTAACGTCATGGCGCTAATCGGAGGGTTTACGAAATTTTCAATTGACCAAGAAGTGACCGTAACAAATTCTATGTCAAATCAAACATTTTTGTATTTGGAGCATGCATGTAAAAACCTACAAATTCTAAAGAGCAGAGGCTGTGATAATTGGAAATCGCTATGGGCCGAGATTGGTATTTTAATTTATAATGTAGCAGTCAAGTTATACTGTTTGAAGCATGGTGAGTCGCAAAGATACTTCATTCTCTTAGTGAAAAACTTAGTTACGCTGGAAGGTACTAGTTCATCAGAAATTTTCGCGATAGACGCATTGGCGACATCTTTGAAGTGTTTAATTGAACTTCATCTTGACTGTGATAATTATAGTAAATCATTAATGTTCTGTGCTATTTATATTCTGCTTCGACCAGAGTCGCATCATGCCCCATTCAAACAGTGGGTGACAATTAAATCTAAAGAAAAACAATCAGAATTTAGTACACAGACATTCCAAGAGACTACGATCCGGCAAGCTTTAAAGGAAAACAGAAACGAAATCCTTGCCATTTCTATGGAGTTCGAACAGTGTCTTGAACTTGTAACAGTAAATAGATTACTTCCATTGGAATTGGTAAGCTACGCAAATATGTGGCCCAGTCGAGTAGCAATGTTGGCTGCCTTCAAGGAGATATACAAATACTGTGACGTATTAACGACCGTAGATGTGTTAATAAATGCATGGGGGAAAAGTATAGCTTCCATGCATCCTGAACTGTACGATCTTCTGACGCCTATTATGCAAAGATTTGAAGAAGAAATTGCAACACTTCCTAATAACGTATTTCACCAACTCTCCTTTGCGCGACTATGCACAATGAAATATTACTCTCAGGTTGCTGAGATAAGGAGAAAGAATTCCAATGATATGACCAAATGTGCAACAACCAACGAATTCAGTAATGATTCATCGGACATGGTTGCATATTATACGTTCTTAAATGTAGAAGAACAGATTGAGATTATGAAATATTTAGTACAAGCTCTTGATGTATACAATGCACACATCCCAACATCCGTCACGCCGCACCTTATAGACTTATTGATGGAGATTTTTGATGTAGCGATAAACATCGGTTTTGAGTTTCGCTTGTATTGCAATTCATTGCAAGCGACTAGAGCTTGGTGGCTTTGTTTGAAAATATCAAGACTGTTACAGCACGACCTTTACATGCTGAAATCAATTGGGTTTCTACTCGAAAACGCAAATCTCAACAGCAACGGCACAAGAGGCTTATTAGCCGAGGCTGATTTAATAATCCAAAGGTTGAATGTCGCGACCTCTGAGTCACATGACGTGTTGGTCATGTTTTATGTAAATGTGAGCGTTATGTATCTGAAGAATCAACAAATACAGGAAGGTTACGAAAATTACGAAAAAGCTTTAAAATGGTTCCAGCAAATCGACAATAAAGAGGATCTCATATTGAGTGCATGGGTGCAATATTTGCATGCTCTGTATCTATTTATGCCATGCTCCTTTGCTTTGGGAACTCACAATGATAGCTCATTAGGAAAACTTTTACAGATTTCCAAGACTATTTCGAACTACACAAAAGAAAAAGGTACGTTTATTCAATTTTTTATGGTCCATTTGATCATATAATAACGACTCCGAACTTATTTATTAGTTAGAGAAGACCAAACTGGAGATTTTTTCCTCGATTTTTTCCAAATAAACCAAGGGCCCAAAAAGTTTCGTTTGGGCGCATTTCTTTAATTTTTTTAATTTAGGTTTTTCGCTGTGATTGTTCCAATTTTATATAAACTTCATAACACAAAATGCGTCTCATCAATATAGTACTTGCCATGGAACTAGCTTACAATATGAAAAACATAATCTCGAGGTGTATAAAAAAACCCAGCATATGTCAATGCTTGTAATGTAATGTACAATATGCTTAGTGCAGATATGAAAACCATATCCGATTTAAATATCTTTAAAGTAAAACCAAAGAGTACCCTACTCTTTGGTAAAACTTAAACCAGGTGCGAAATTCTTCTTGACAGAACAGCTTCCTAGCTCAAAACCAACTTTTGTTTGTGTTTAATACTTATTATTATTATTATTATTATTACTAATAAATCATTCATTTATTGTCTAAAGCCAAGCAACGTTGCTCCTGGTTAGTATTTGAATGGGCAACGCGATTTTTTGCTCACGCATTTCATTTACTTTATTAGAGGGACCTACCATCAACATTTGATTCAAATTGCTCCATAAATAAGAAAGTTGCGGTTTGCGCATGCGCAACACGATTTTTTGTGCATGCATTTTATTTACTATTGTTAGAGGGACCTACCATCAAAATTTCCTTTAGATTTTCCCGATTTTTTATTGTAATTATAATGAACATGAAGGTATCGAAAAGAAGGAATTCTAAACAAACCAATTTTCAATTTCACTTAACTGCAAAAATGATCTTTGAGATAGAAATCGCAAAAGAGAGCAAAAAAATTAAAAACGGCGCACGGTGTCCCAAGCGGTCACCCATCCACGTAATGGCCGCGCGAAACGTTGTATTAACTTCAGTGATCACACGACAACCAATGTTAGCAACGTACTATGCAGCTGTCGTGAATGTTGGTGTTCATTATCAGATGTTTTACTTTTTTCAACTTTTTTTTCTCAGTTTTTAGCGCATTTGCACAAAAAAAATGCGCTATTGTGGCCACTTTGTTCGTCCGTCCGTCCGGCTGTCCGTCCGCTCGTTCGTTGAGACGCTACTAGTTCTTTATCTTAAGAGCTATTGGTCTACTTTTTTCGCTATTTGGTTCGTTATGGTGTCGAGGCTTGCACCAAGGAAGGAATTTTTTCTGCCTTTATTGCTAAAAAAGTTATTGTAAAAAAAACCAACAAACCGTTTTTTACATGTTCCATAATTTTACACTTTTGCCGTTTATTAACGATCCTAGAGATCGTTTGTAATTTTGTATTGCTGTCTGTCGTCTGTCTATTGGTCTGTCCGTCTGTCCCTCCATCTGTCCGTGTGAACGATCACTTTGGTTAGAAATGTCTGATCGCTTTGACATCTCCGTTAGTTATGAACTGAATTGCATGAAATTCAATATGGGCATAGCCTTCTGCCATATAATACGCAATGCCAAAAGTTGAGTCGAATCGATTCAAAATTCACGGTGCCCTTTTCGCATCTCGAACATTTGTAAACCGAATTGCAACCTTTTTTATTTATAAAAGTATGTGAATGAAATTTGATACATAGGCACTTGGAATAGAGGAAAATCTAACGCCAGTTTTAAAATTTGGTTTTGCGCATGCGCAGTGCTCACTTTTTTATTTATGGAAGCATTTAAATGAAATTTGATACATTGGCAAAGGCACATAGAATAAACGAAAATCTAACGCCAGTTTCAAATTTTAGTTTTGCGCATGTGCAGTGCCAACTTTTTTATTTATGGAAGAATTTAAACGAAATTTGATACATAGGCACTTGGAATAAATGAAAATCTAACGCCAGTTTCCAAATTTGGTTATGCGCAGTGCTCACTTTTATTTATGGAAGCATTTAAATGAAATTTGATACATAGGCACTTGGAATAGAGGAAAATCAAACGCCAGTTTCAAATTTTGGTTTTGCGCATGCGCAGTGCCAACTTTTTTAATTATGGAAGCATTTAAACGCAATTTGATACATAGGCACTTGGAATAAAGGAAAATCTAAAGCCAGTTTCAAAATTTTATTTTGCGTATGCGCAGTGCTAACTTTTTTATCTATGGAAGCATTTAAATGAAATTTGATACATAGGCGCTTGGAACAAAGGAAAATCTAACGTTAGTTTCAAAATTTAGATTTGCGCATTCGCAGTTCCAACTTTCGTATTTAGAAAAGGATGAGGTTTGAAATGAAATTTTTCTTATAAACTGAAATTGAAGTGGCACGTCAAAAATGGATTGCACATTTGAAACGCTATCTTTCATATTTGTGGGCGGATTTTTACGATTTTAACAGAAGTTGCATCTTACAAATGGGAAATGAATGCAAGGGGAAATGCGCTTTTTGTAAATCATTTATCATGTTTTGTAATAAAACCTGGCACAATTTTTGTAGGTTGTACACAGAAAGATAAGATCTTTCGAATAACTTAATAAAAATGTTAGGTTGCAATTTGAAAAAAAAAGTTCGACGCCTTTGCGGCGCTTCGAATTTTTGTTTCAAAAATCCGGCCTGTTATTTTTCTGTTCTGTATTGCTAATATACATATACAAAATTTGAACAAAATCCGTCGAGCCGTTTTCTCGGAAAATTGTCAACATACAGACGGAAAAAATGTTAATTCTTTAAAAGTTGCTTAAAATGATCTAAAACGTCATATGATGAAATTGTCCAAAAAACGGCTATCGCAAGCTAACAAAATTGCTAGTAGTTAAGATGATTGAGGAGAACAAATCAATAATGAGATTCCTAGCGCGAGCTAGGTAGCTATTGCGATAGCCGTTCTTCGAACATGTCAAAATTTCATCAAATGTCGACTTTTTAGATCATTTTAAGCTACTTTTAAAGAATAAAATTTTTTTCCCTCTATGTACGATCGATAAATTCATACACTATATAAAATGGCAACAATGGCAATGGTAACTTTTGCGGCGGGGAATCGTGTGGGATGGGCCTTACTCGTAGGAGCAATTTGAACGAAATTTTGATGGTAGGTCCCTCTAATAAAAGCAAATGAAATGCATGAGCAAAAAATTGCGTTGCCCATTCAAATACTAACCCGGAGCATCGTTGCTTGACTTTAGACAATAAAAGAATGAATTATTGGTAAAAATAATTATAAGTATTGAACACAAACAAAAGTTGGTTTTGAGCTAGAAAGCTGTTCTGTCAAGAATTTGGCACCTGGTTTTAATTTAAAAAGGTGCTTCTGTTTGCATTTATTTTGTCTGCCCGTCCATATGGATCTACAGCTGCGGTTTTGAATTACCTACTTTTAGTTGTGGAGTTTTTTGCAATAGGTACCTAGGTAACTGTACCTGTAAGAAGTGCTGGTTGGCTTTCAAATTTTAAAGTTTTAGGGGGGGGGGGGGGAGGGCTCCAAGAATTATTTCCTAGGATACTATTTGGAAAGCAAAAAGTGCATAACTTTTACTTTTCTACATCTCCAGTGCATAATTAATACTTTACTAATTGCGGCAAACACATACAGAAAATACGTCGGACGTTGCGTTTTTTTTTAAATGGTTGGAACTCTGATAGTGACAAGAAGGTTACTAAATGGATAGTCCGTTATGGTAGTCCATCATCAAGGCCAAAATTACAAAAAAAAGGTAGCTGTTTTAATGACATTTTGCAATACGATACGTGTGTATGGAGTGATTTTCAAAACTGGCTTATCTCTATAACTTTATTTACTTTTTAAAATAAGGAAATGAAATTTGGGGATTAGATATAGGTAGGTAATGCAAGAATGTTAGTTCCGGTTTAGTCGGAAATTCGCCTAGTTTTCGATTTTTAAATGGAGCGCCTTGTCTTTTTTGTTTATTACGATACAAAATGACATACAGTACATGCAATTCCAAATGAGCAATGAGCATATTGCCATCCCGGAAGTCGGTTAAATGGAAGCCCTGTTGCGCATTTTGGGGCACAACGTAGCGCAACTTACAAAGGAAATTAATTCCGAGTATTTTTTAAGTTAATTTGAAAAACCCAAAAAAATTCGCTCATTTCTTTTTTTGTGACTTTATTTGAAGAGCTTTTTGAAAACAAATGATACTTTTTCATAGCAACCTTTTTTCCCCCCACAATCTGGCATAATTACATTTCAAGTTAGACGTTTCGGTTTCTTGAGGCCATCATCAACTTTATTTTTTGAAATACATACAGACCTGCATTTTTTATTTCTTGCTATGAGGTTACCTACCTTTCACGTTGTGTGTTGGGATGTTAGACTACGTATTTATCTCAATTATTTTGTTGCAGGGTGTACATCACCGGAAAGATTATGCTTGCTGTTTGAAGTAAATTGTACTATCATCCATAATTACAAATGGATGTACTTACCAAGAGAAGTTCGCTGTTATTCACGTGATTTGTTGGTCCTCGCCCAGAAATTAGTAATACCTTTAAGAACAGCTATCATTTTGTGTTACCTTGGCCATGCCGATTTGCAGAGCTCACGTATTAACGATTGTCAAGTGAAATTGGTCGGCCTACTGAATATTCTCGGCTTAGACCACAATAACTACGCAATACCAAAAGTAGCAATTTCAAACAATAGCAAAGACATCACAGTTAAAGAAGAAATGGGTGAAATAACAGAGAGATTTGGCGAAATTTTGTTGGATTGCCCTAAGTCGCATACAGATTTTGCACGGACAGGTTCTCCATCCTTCGCAAAAACATTCAGTTTACCAACAATGTTCACACACTCTAATGAGTGTCATTGCTATTACTGCTTAAGTGTAGAATATCAAATGTTAATCATAAACGTTGTGCATTTAGATGCCATATTAAATGTCACAAGTAATGACGACAAAGCAGCGGTAACTTGTTTTGAACAGGTGAAACAAATTTATAAAAAAGTATGTTTAGATAATTATATTGAAAAGCTGAACGATGTGGTGTCGTCCAATATCTTTTTTGATTCTAAAAGCATTTTGGTAGAATCATACTATGCTGTACTATTAGATTATACAAAGTATTTCAGTAGAAAAAACAACCTGTTGAAAGCAAAAGGTCTACTAGAAGAACTTATGAATTCATTTTCCACCAAAATCTGTTGCAATCCATACTTATTTAACGAAATATACTTGGAATATGCCACCCTCTTATTAAGAAATCCGAAATATAAGGAATGTCCAAAAGTTAAAACAAAGGTCACATTAAGTTTAGACAGCAATGACCACTGCTTACATACTCCCGAAAGTAAACAATCAAAAGTAATTTTCCACAAATCTTACAGTCCCAATCCTGAATCGCCCCCTAAAAAGACATGGAAAAGAATAAAATGCAATTTTTCCGATAGTGAAGAGGAACTCAATCCTTCTAGTAACAGCCAAACGGACGTTTTTACTCCATTATGCCCTAAAGAACCTGTTGCGCGCACTAATCCCAAAACGACAAAGAAAGCAGAAGAAATACTTAACAAAATTTCGATCAATGTTACCGAGGCGGACAGTTCAGTTGTCGTCCCACTTAGTCCTAATGCGTACACTCCAAATGCACTTAAAGCCGCCCAAGGATTGAAATCTCGAACCAAATTATTAACGAATAAATTAAAATTAGCCACAGCCCAACAAAACGGCGTTGTTGGAGGTAGATCGACTAAGGAGGACGTTAAACAAAGTGAGGGCAAAAATGCTTGCAAGAATTTAATGAACGAATTATGTGCAGCTGAAAAAAAAACTATATATAGGAAAAAGCAGAATAAGGATGAGAGGCCGACTAGAGTGACAAGGGCAAATGCCAGAGTGATGTAGTTTTTGTTGACGTTTGTGTTTTGTTTGTTTGTAAATATATAAAAATAATGTGTAATAAATGAAGTAAGTTACAATGTAAATGTGTTTATACTGTGTTTTGGTATGTTGTAAAGTACTCCTTTGCGAAATTAAAAAATGTTTCAAGGTTAATAGTGCAAACTTTCTTAATACCGACCCATTTTTCTATTGTAGCATTTCAATTTATCTCTTTGCTGTAAGCTATTTTTAATTAGTATATCAACGTATATGCATCATGCGCAGGTAGATATGTAGATTATAGGTGCTAAAGACTGAAACTTTATGCATTGGTTTGCATTTTACAAAAAGTATGCTATGGGATATACCAGAGCCTACTATATAACTACAAGCTGTCGCCTGCGATTGCTGACGTCATGAAAGAAGCCGATTACTCTCTAAAGAGTCATATGGGTGCGGGTATAAACATACAAGCATTTAGTTATTTATTTTTTATATTTAATCAATTTTGTCATTTTAATTGTAACCATGATGCTGCGTTTATGAAAGATTACAACTTCGAATTATGCCAAAATAATAAATTTTCAGAGAATAATTTACCTATAGGTATAACTAAAAAATCAGATACAACTGAATACCGAACGATCCTCAAGATCTTATAGCACATGCATCAGGCATTTATCATCAAGGACCATTTTAAAGTTTACACTTATAGGTGCGGGCCACATCATCAAAAAATCCACATAAACATATTTTGATTTTGTATTATTAACAAAATAATACAAAAAAAAACGAAAAATTAAAATCATTAGTACGCGCTCAAGAAAATGTACCGTGTGTCCTATTTTGGTTGAGACTGCAGTGTATTCCAGCTGTTGTTAAAGATAAGAGATTTGTGGTTTTCGCGACCCTGTGCCACTTTTTTGTGAAACAATGCCACACACAGAATCAATCCAACTACGTTTGTTTCTGAGGTGAATATGAAAAATTGGACTTTTTGTGGAATCTGACTATACCCATGTAAGATAGAAAAAAGGTAAAAACTGCCTATTTTAGGTATTTTTACGTAGAATCGAGTGACGTAGTAAAAAAAATTTGGACATCCGTTTCTGAGATTTAACCCAAATTTGATATTTTTTAAATGCAACACCTTGTCTTGTATGTTAACGTCAATTTTGTTACATTCTTTTTCGTGATTACATTAATGTATCATTCTAGATTTATTTACCATTTTTCAAAATTTTGAAATGACGTGTACCGTCAGCCATTTTTGTCGATTGGCATCGACTGCTTTAGTTACAATGGAAACGATAAACAAAACAAAATCTCCATGAATCCATGGCCTACTATTTTAAGTAGTAAAATAGGTTGTGATACATCAATGTAATCAGGAAAAGGAATGATAAGAAATTCACGTTAAGATATACAGCGTGATACCAACTTTGGGTCAAACCTCAGAAATTTTTCGTTTTCACCCTGTGTCTCAGAAACAAACGCAGCTATAGATTGGTTCTGTTTGTCGTATTTTACGTTTCACAAAACCGCAAGCCTATCTTTAAAAACAGCTGAGATACACTGCAGTCTCAACAAAAATAGGACACACGGTACAATTAAATTTTATAAATTACAATAATCATAATGGGCCGCAGGCTTCAGAACAGGGGGCCGCGAGTTTGACATGCCTGACATACAACATTTTTACAGGGATTGATTCTGTCCCACCAGATCAGCATTGCTTGTAAAGCAAATTTTTTGAATCGGAATTAGTTTTACTTTTATTCGAGGGGCATAAGCGTTAAATTATGGTACATTGCATAGGCATATGAAAAAAATGGGGTTTTTTACCTTAAGTTTTTTCATAAGCAGCACAGAAAAAAAATTCCTTCCTTGATGCAAACCTTGCAAAAAAATAGAACTAGGGAAGGACATACGGACGAAGTGGCCACAGTAGTGCATTTTTTTATTTTTGTGGAACTGTGCTAAAAAGAACAGTGTTTCCATGGAACAAGTTATATACAGTCCAATAAATCTAATAGGGAGGTGGCCCACTCAAATCACACATACCGAAAGCCAAACTATTCAAAAATGATATAAAGCAAGAATTTCGTAATTTTTACTGCTATCAAAAAAGCTTCTAATATAAGTGACATTTTGGGCCAATTTAAAAAAATATCAAACTCCAAAATTTGAAAATATTCGCTCGCTAAAGAGACACAAGGGAAAATCAAAAATTGTCAATATCAGAATGAAAAGAGACACGAAAAAATGTTTATTACAAAATTACTTGCAGAGTAGTCTGCCGTTTTCAAAATAAGTACATATACGATGTCAACAAAAAAGTTCCTGGACTTTACCTCATTTTTTTTATAGAAAACCCTGTATAAACTAAAAAATTGCATATCAAAATTTTCTTTTTTACTATATAACGTAATCGCAATAAATGGGGAAAATACAAGGGATTCAAAAAATTCAAAATGATATTAAAAAAAGAATTAAAAACAAACTGAAATTTTTTTATTTTTTTGAAAAATCTAATGCATTTTTTAAATTTCTTGAGTTTTATATTTTTGGAAGCGAATTTAATATGTTCTTTTTCGAATAAAATATACAGAGCGTTCAGAAAAATGAGGGTATGTCCTATAAATTTTTTACCTGATTCCGTACACTTATATTAAAACAGCAGATTATTTAACAGTCATTATAAAGAAACTTGTAAGAAACATCTTTCTATATCTCCTTTAATAAATATAGGTTCATTATTGACAATTTTTTGATTTTCCTACGTACATTTTAAATTGAAATATTTGAATCAAAAACTACCATAATAAAAATCTCTTTCCAAAATATAACACTACAAAAATTCCATATTGATTTTAAATAGATTCAAAAGATTTAAAAAACTGAAAGATCCAAACAATGTTTTGAAATTTTGTTGTATTTATCAAATCATTTGACATTTTTTAAATCTCTTTCTAGCCTTTTGGAATATCATCCTTAGTGTATGTAAGTTATAGTATGCTATATTTTTAGATTATTAAGCAATACAGGACGTTCCATTGCAAGCGATTGTAGACAATTTGTGACAGTATTGCAGGAAGATGTTACCCCCTCGGGGACGGGCATACATACAAAATTTCATGTAATTCGGTTCATAACTAACAGAGATGTCAAAAAATCGGATTGCGCATGCGTGAAACAAATTTTTTGATCGGAATTAGTTTTACTTTTATTTGAGGTGCCAACCTACAAAATTTCATTTAAATACCTTAATAGATAAAAAAATTGGGATTGCGCAAATACAAAAGTTGGTTGAGCATGCGTAATTTTGGTTTATTCATCTGCAGTCACCTGAGGTTTAAGGAATATTTACTAACACAGAAAATCGGACATTCGTATGTTCTTTGTAACAAGAATTATAAAAGAAACCCTTTTTTGGAGGTTTGGGCTGTAACTTTTTTGCCCGTTAGTCTACGTAGCCGAAAAACAATAGCAACCTTTCTTATATCCTGAACAACATGTGTATCAATTTTCAAAGCGATCGGACGTCTCTACACAAAGTTATCGTGCACACAGACAGACAGACAGCAAATTATATAGCTAAGTAAAATGGGATAGGTGTTACTTTACAAATAAAATGAGAAAATTGAATCAAGTTAAAAAAGAAATGACTAAATGCTTGTATGTTTATACCCACACACATATAGCACTACAGAAAGTAACCGGCTGCTTTCATGACGTCAGTAATCACAGACAGCTCGTAGTTATAGTAAGCTCTGGATATCATCAACCAACTTTTCCTTTGAAAACGGACAACGTAGATTTAAAAATTTACTGTCTTCTGATTGGCTAATGGACAAATCTGACATACTCTTCCAGTTAACCTAAAAATCTAAGCTCAACAACTCTGTCAGACTTCTAAAATAAATTTTCTTTGTGGATTTATTTACATAGGTCATTACATCATTACGTGCTTAATCAATACAGGAGTTTGGTAATTGTACCTATAAACTGGATTACCTGGAAACATATTTTTGCATTATAAACTAGTCAAGTTTTGAAATACCAGGGTGCGCACAATTACTCAACCCTCTCCTATGCCATTGATCGTATCTACTTACAAAAGTATCAAGTTTTATGGATATAGTACCTAAGCACTAAACATTATCCATACTCTCCATCTCATCTTCGTCCAAATTAATCACTATTTCGTCATTATCACAACAGTTTATATCTTTAATGGAACCAGTTTTTAAATCAAGACTAGAAGTTTCCATCCTACCCTTCGCATCACAAGATTCATCTTTTGTTTGTTCTGTTCTTTCTAATTTTTGTGAACAAGCATTGTCATCGATCTTGGTTTCATTGGTAGCCAGTTTATCACGAATTAATTTTATTTTTTGCAATTTTACCGATTTCTCTACTCTTACTTGTACGTTATCCATGCTGTCAATTTCATCTTCGTCTACATTAATCACTATTTCGTCATTATCACAGTGATCTATATCTTTCTCCACACATGTATCAACAACAGTTGTAGGCTCAGTTTTATTTTGTTCTGTAGGTGTATCTGTATCCGGATTTGTAATATTTTCTAACAGAGGGCGAACGTTCTCAGAAGTTTCAGTTGTAGCAGTATTTTTATGACGAATTAATTTAATCTTTTGCAATTTTGATAACAGCTTTTCTTTTCTTTGTTTAATATCTGACTCGGCATCCTTCTGCTTTGTTTCATTTGATGATACTGTCTTTGTTACAGTTGTTGCATCTTCATTTTCCCGCTCAGATTCGGAAGTGATAATTATTTCATTGTGACTAGGGCTATTGATTATAACTGCGTCTGAATCTGAATCTTCTTGTTTTACTGCCTTACTTTCTTGTCTTGATTTACCACTTTTAGAATTTTCCGCCTCGATAGCTAGTTGGGATCTGATCGCTCTTGCCCTTGCTTGTAACTCGAGCAACTCTAAAACACTCATTAGCTTAGATTTTTCAGACTCATTGATTACGTCCTGCTTAGGAACTGTGCTAGTTCTTTTTTTGGTCCTTTCCTTTTTAATGTTTACATCGTTGCCTTTCTCTAATTTTCTTTTAAGTGACTTATTCTTCTTTGACGAATCTGCAAGAGAAAAAAAACTGCAAATCTGTTTTCCAAATAAAAGTTTTGGTTGCCTATTGGTTAAGAATAGATGTAGGTATAGTGCGGCTCTGTAAAGTAATTTTATTCAGAACCTTTACAAGCTTAAAATTTGTAAGAAAGTGAACGAAAATAGGGAGTAATACGAGGGGATACTGTAATGTAATGTAATCTACCTAGAAAAGGAATGCAAGGTAAAACAACATTTATTTTTTCGCGTCTGTACCTTGAACCTCTACTTCTGCAATACACAGGTTATGGCTGCCTTCAGTGTCAGGCTCTTTTTGGCCAATATATGAATATAAACTCATGCAGTTTCAAAAAAATTTTCGGTAATTTTGAGGCACATGTGTAATTATTTCTGATTAACAGTTATCGATAATTGCCAATTAATCAATAATTACTGGACCCAAACTGTAAGATGTATGACTTACGGAGAAGTTAGGTGTCAAAAATAATCGATTATTTTTGGAAGTTATCAAAAATCACCGATTATAATCAAAAGTAAATTGTCGATAATTATCAAAAGTTATCGATCACTATTGGTGGAACCCATCGGATATGATGCCAATAAAATACATCCTAAGTATTACCATATAGCATCTACATTAAGCATAATAAGGAAGCATGGGAGCAAACAAAACCCATTTTCAAGAGAGGCTCTAAACAGTGGCATACGAATGGTTCAAAACAAAAAGATTGAAAAACAAGGATAGGGATTTAGCAACCCCAACTGCCACATCTCTGAACCTCCGAGTAAAAGTCCTGCAATATCTTTGAAACTGAGACCTTTGCCACTCCTTAAACCTCTGGATATGGAGAAAAAAAGGTGCAACAATTGATATTCCATGTTACTTTATGGTGGGTTCCAGGGCATTCGAGTACTGCAGACGAAAAGATTCAGAGCCCTTTGGTGGCAACCAAAAAACCCACATATAGTATGCAAAAAATCAGTGAGAACCCCTCAACCAAAGGGGCATCCGGTAGAGGATATCTGGTGTACATGCACGAGGATATCTGAGGTTATCCGAGGACATCTGAAATTATCCCGAGGATATCTAAGAACGTAAAAATTAACCACGATTTCTGCAGGCGATTAAACGCGCATGATCAGACTCGACCCAAAGGGTTTTTAATTCATGCATTTTATGGTGTTGGGCAAGGTTATTAAGTTCAAAAGGTTAAGTCTTGTAGTTTATGTACAATATAATATACTACATTTCTCTCAGCGATATAGCGAGATTTATAAAAGTGCGCATCACATTTATTTTCGAACGTAAGTAGCTAATAAACATTTAATTAATTAGAAACAGTTTTTACTCGAGTTTTTATGATACAACTTCTTTTTGAAATATTTTTTGCACTTCTGCCATTTTGCAAAATTTTGCAATTTTAAAAGTTATGTACGAGGTTATATATGTACAGGCCTCACGGAGAAAGAACGTTTCGGGCCGCGCATGTGACGTCGCGCGATCGGCAATGATCGTGTACTTTAATAGCTTTAGATTACTAGTGGCGGCGTAAGTTATAGAAAACACAAAGGTATTTGCACTTATGTTATTTTTTTATTAATATGTTATATGTTTGTTTGTTTGTGTTATAAAAAGCAATGCAATGCCTAAATATTTCCACGAAGCAAACCAAATTTTTGTGTACCTACTACGCCACTGGATGTTTTAACCATTGAGTGAATTAACTTTCACGAGATGGTTAGTTTCCCTTTATCGTCGTGTATAATACAAGACTTTACTTTACAGCAGAAGCCATATAAATCATTAGGTATAAAGCTTAAGAAAATTCTGAATTTAATTTAGACGTCAAAAATAGCAAACTTATGTCCGTCGCTGCCAAAGAAACAATATTGTATTCTATTCTTAATTTCATTTTATTTCATGCTCCGCGTCCCATTTTTAATAAGAATGACAGATGTCATTAGAATGCACAATCATTTGTTTCATCTACCCTTGCGGTTAAAGCAATCACTTTACCTACCCTTACGGTTAAAAAGCGAGTTAGCCTACTTATTCAAACCTATTAAAATGTTAATTTAGTTAACATCTGCTATAAGATAAAAAATTTTTTATTGTTTATTGTACGTATACTAACTATTGCTCACGTGCGTACTTATTTACCTATTCCACATAAATCCAGTTACTAATTACGCAGTACGTAGTTATACCTATAGACCTCTCGCTAGGCTAGGCGTTCGAAACGAGGTTTCAAATCACTTTTTACTATACTGAAGGCCAGGGAATATCGGAGAATATCTGGGGAGATCCAAGGTTATCCTGTCTAAAAAGGATATCTGGTGTACACAATTTTATGACAGGATGCCCCCTCGCCCTCAACAAAATAGATCTTGGGATCCTTACAAGAAATCTGCTAAAACACCATCTACACAAAATGGATATACCTAACTGAGAATGCTACATGTCGACTGTACAAGTAGACAGTCAAAAGAGCAGAGCGTCCTGACACCATGATTGATGCTGCAGTTAAACACAGACATAACCAGAGCATATTTTCAGCTATAAAGTAGGCAACACTAGTGCCGGGTAGTAAAGACTTTTTGTTGCCTAGAGCTTGTAAGAATACCAGTGGCAAACACTTTTCTTCTTCGAAAATTAACTTATTATTGCCAATTTCAGAGTCACTGGGAGACTCTAAAAGTAAACAACCACTAAGTTTCGCACAAAATCATATTTTATAAAACTGTTAAAAAAAATTTCCGGTTGGTGGTCTACCCGAGAGGTGCCCTAGTGCGGCGACTGGGACCCTGCGACACTGAAGTGAGCCTTCAGTAGGTATTGCACACCAATACTGAATTCAGTGCCGCCTAGTAGAAGTGATATAAAATATGCTCTGGACATAATGTCTTAGATAAGGACAAGTTTACCCTTAGGAAATGGGTGAAGCGAACCCGAAAATAGTTACCATCAATTAAAACCAGTGTTGTTGAAATGTTGGCATTAAACAAGGTAAAGTACTGCTTGTTAAGTTGGTATGGACGTTCATTGTCATAGTAATTAAGTTGTTGATTTGATTGCGTGCATTGCAATAAAATGTTATATTAAGTTTACTTTTTTGCTCAGCCAATATAAACTCCAATACCATCAGAGACTGTAGCCCAGTGCGTATTTGCAGATGACTTAAAGATTTGCGCAAATTCACAGGAAAAGGTGAACCAATGGGCACATGAACTAAGATATAGTCCCTCGGGTCGACGGCGGTCTGCCGGTAGGCAGCGAAGGTAATTAAGCTAGTTCGCGGGTGATAAATGAAATGATTAGAAAAAGGTGAAAGTAATATTTTTGACATAGACAATTTTTGGAAGCTAGTGCAAATGAAAGCATATATCCTCGCGAACACTGCAGGTACGGTCTCGGCACACAACACAAGCAGCAAGAATAAAATCCTCCTACAAGGGTCACAGCATAGGACAGAGTTTTTTCACAAAAATTTTCTGTTTATGTCGGCATAAAGCTTTTTAATAAATTAACAGACGATATTAATACACTAGTTAATTTAAACAAATTTAAAAGTAGGTAATATCAAACATCTGTTGTTAAATGGTAGTTTAGATTTACCAAGATTTTTATTTTTTATTTATTTTTATTTTTTAATACGTTTTTGTTTGTTGTATGTTGTATTGTTTGTGATTCTACATCTGACATGTCCATATAGGTACATTGAAAATGTCTGGATTTCGAAATAAATATTAATCTTAAAATATTGAATATATTTGGTAGCAGATTTTTGGAAACTGAGCTGCAAAGAAAAGTTCCTGTGTCTAAAGGAAGGTAGCTGTATACATCATTTTTCCAGCTTACAGTCGATCGGAAGATTTTTATGAACACAAGTAGACCTCACAAGTCAAAAGTTTGGCCATCCCTGATACAGAGGAATGAAAATAAATATCAACACAGCTAAAAGGTAGGTAATGCAGCTAGGAAAAGAAAGCGAAAAAATCTATACAAAGTAAATACATAGCAATCTGAGGGGCAGCCAAATAATATTATAGCCTCACGCATACTAATAGGAAGCGAAAGCTGGATATTATCAAACATAATTTTGGAGAACTCGGATTGAAAGAAAGCAGTCAATATGGATAGTTGCTGTTTGCTAAGGCGATATAGGTTTCACCTTATGTGTAGAAAGGTTACGATTAATTACATATATTTTGCATAGTTGACAACTGACTGGAAAATTGTGTGATACCGAGTGTGATACAGTACACAACACTGCATAAAAATACCTTCGCAAGATTTTTGTTTCGAACGAGTACTAGTAAGGTCCAAACTGTCATCGTCCGAAATATCATCTAAGGAAATTATATCTATTTTGTCTTCTTCAGAGTCAGATGAACTCGTTTCCCTGTCTACATCTTCGCCATTAAAAATGTAGGTAAGTCTTTTATTGGATATTCCTAGCAGTTCCTCCAGTAACATTGAATTAATTTCTGCAATACCCAAATGCTAAAATAACATTGTGAGCATCTCTTCGTTACAACGCAAGTGATAAAATTAACCTTTATGCATTCAGGTGCCATGGCCTTAATTTTTTTAGGTTTAATAATTTTTAAGGTTTCTTTCATTAATTTGACCTTATCTTTTGCGTAATAAGACAGTTCATGTTGACTTTCATCTGTTTCAGAACCTGACATGGTAAATGTAATCTCCCTTTAGGTGAATTAGTATTGCTTTCTTTTACCGGAGAAGTGAAAAATCACAATTATAGGTACTTATAAAAATGTAGAAATAAACTATTTACATTACGGCCTATGGGAGAGAATATTAGGTTAGATTTTTTTAAAAATGTACTCTACGTGAAGTGAGATCATTTTTGAACTGGAGTAGCCGTTAAAACAGTGCAACCCGGTGAAAAGACTGTGGTTACAACAGTGACGACTCGTGAGTTCTGAATGAGGGTGGGCACAAGGAAAGTATTTTTCCTGAGAAACCATAGCAGACGCCAAACGACAGGTGCGCGTTCAATATTACCACCACATTGGCGCTACGACAGCAGTAGCCCTGCTTAACGCATTGTTACGTACATAAATAAACGCGGAAACTCGGAAAGCAAGGGAAAAGAATCCAACATCACGCACAAACGTTAAATCGTTTATGCGGAGATAACAAATATCATCATCAACATATATCATACTCTCTTTTGGGGCACTCACATGACTGTGTTCCGGAAGATAGTTTTAAGCGTTACCTCCGTCTAATCTCCCTCCGGAAAGACGGAAGAAAGTTTGATACCATCCGTTATAAAATGTAAATATACAGGGTGACAATTTGAAAACTTACCACCCCCCCATATCTTAGTAAATAAACGAGATATTTAAAAAAATTAAAATCCGTTTCGATAATTCGGAGGGGGAATCACAATGACATAGTTGGCGACGCACCCCCTCCAACCCCCTGCGCCCCAGACACCACAACTTTTAAAACTTAAATAGTGACCCCCCATGTGTGATATGTCGTTGGAAAGCTCTGAAAAAATGCTTTCCAACCATACCAAATAGCATTACATTTAGGTTAGTAATTATCGTGCAAATCAAAAAATAAGCTAATATGATACATTTGAAATCTGTCGTATTTAAAACGCAACCGGCGAACATAGACGAACTAAGACAGAATAATTCAAGAATGCCGAAATATTGCAAAACCAACATTTGAAAAGGTTGGACAAGAGTTTGAGAATAGATTATAACTGGCGATCAAAAATGAGTTGCTGTCGAGTCGGCTTTGGAAGTTCAAGTTAAATACGATTTTCCATGTAAACAAAAATTTCAAAGGGCGACTCGACAGCAACTCATTTTTGATCGCATAGTAATAATACTGTCTTACCAAGAACGGAAACCATTTTGAACATTTATTGAAATAAAAGCCAACTTTAGAAAATGTATCATATATATTAGTCTATTTTTTGATTTGCACGATAATTACTAACCTAAATGTAATGCTATTTGGTATGGTTGGAAAGCATTTTTTCCAACGACGTATCACACACGTGGGGTCACTATTTAAGATTTAAAAGTTGGGGCGCAGGGGTGTGAGGGGGTGCGTCGCCAACTATGTAATTGTGATTCCCCCTCCGAATTACCGAAACGGATTTTGATTTTTTTAAATATCTTGTTTATTTACTAAGATATGGGGGGTGGTAAGTTTTCAAATTGTCACCCTGTATGTCAAATAATATAGTCCGTCTAGAAATTACCCGGAATTTATTATTTTTCATAATTTTAAGGCGGCTAGGGACAGGCCATTCAAAATTTAAGCTGCGCCTACGCAAATAATTATATAGGCAACCAATCGTGCAATTCGACAAGTTTCACCAGGCATAAGTAAGCTACCTGCAAATGACCTCATCTTCCTACAATAAAACCAGATTCCAGACCCTCATTATCGGCTATTCAACAAAAGTAACTGATTTATGGAATTTTAACTTTCTCCTGATGTTTTACAGTTTTACTAATACTGGAAACCTTTGAATATAGAATAGGAAATCAAAGCTGAAAGCTCTACATACCTATATAAAAATATTACTAATGTATTACTTTCTAAGATATCATTCCTACTTACTTCCTATATAGGGATTTACAATAATGACTTTTTGAGATTTGGACTTGGGTAATGAAGGGAACAATTTCCGAAACAAGAAAAACTGGTGTTCAATTTTTGTGGGTCATAGCACAAATTTATTTAAACAATTATCACATCCGATCAAACTACGGCCCCATAGATTTCTTATACCTATTATGATAACGATTTTCACAGGTGCGCGGATGTAAGAATGGTATTTTTCTTCAATTAGATGAACAGTTTTCGATATTTCGCATGGCTTCCGCAATGTAGCCCGGTATTTGCTGCGTTTTCAACCTTCCCCCATTTATCAAATTATATATCTGAATTCTGATCTAATTTACAACAAAATAAATGACTCATTTTTCATTACAAAAAATGTTTTAATAGATTTTCGGAAATTTTCCAATTCCAACACGCCATTCGCCTGATGGTTTACGAAAATAGTTTATTTGGCTAGCCGTCAAACCTACAGTGGAATTATCAAAAGCATAGGTAGATTAAAAAATTATCAAAGTCCTCGTGTGGGATCGAAGAGAGATCAGCGCATTTTTGTGTGGCAGATCAGTATTGTATTAGCCACCATCAAAAAGATCTTATCGCAAGCTAACACATTCCCTTTGTCGGTACCCAATTCCTAAGTCAACTACCCCTCGCAGACGTGCGCCTTGTAAAATGAGGTTAACCAAGGAAAAAAACAAATTTTCGCCACGCAGTTATTGTGTCCGTTTACAAGATCTTTCCAACGGCACCATTTTGAAAACAATCTGATGGTGAGTAAAAACTTTAAACTCGAATTGCGGGTGAGCGAGACGTCGGAAGTGGGTACCGAGAAAAGGAATGTGGTGGCTCCCACCAAGATCTTACTGATGGTGGAGTAAAACTTCAAACGCAAATTGGAGATGCACGGGACGTCGGACGCGAGTACCGACGAAGGGAATGTGGTAGCTTCGACAAGATCTCACACGAGGACTTTGACAATTTTTTACTAACGACATGCTGAAATAAAAAATTATCACTTGTAATGCTTGCTATTTCCGGAAACTTTTCGAGCTCACAAATATTTGAACTTTCGCAAAATATTCGTGAGCAAGAAAAAAATTCTATTCAAGCACTGTGGTATTCGGTAAGAAAATTTCACACCGTAGTGACCCTCAACGAAAAAGTGACGTTTTATGTCAAAACATTATTACCTTTTTACATCAAAAAATTGACGATAAATTCCTTGGTTGCCATGGAAATGTGACACGAAATCCGCATTTCATTGGTGGACAAAATTGCTAGTTGAAATTTTCGTTGAGATTTGTCACCTAAAGTATGTAAGACACAAGATTATCAATTTTTTTATGAACAGTTTTTTAACAGAGCTGCTAGATTCAAGAAGGTGCCGACAACAAACAATTCGTCATGTTTATCTATAATAGGTACATCGTCCAAATTGTACATAATTTTTATGTAATCGATATTATTAAATTGCTTTTTTGATAAGTAGGTAACAATACACCTACATCAAATGTATGAAAAAAATGTATGAAACGGGTCTAAAAAATTAAAACGTTGTTACTCCTGAATATTACATTTATTGACGTACAATATTTTTTTAATTATCGGTCAATTATCGTTGGTACTAATAGACGAATAAATGGAAGGCATTGAGATTCTTTTGTTACTGGTCTAATAAGGGTCATAAACCATTGTATATAAGTATAATGGTCATTAGGTGATAATATTTTCCAGGTAAAAGTGCTACCTGAGTTGCCTATCGTCATTGTATGGAAGGTATTGCATTTCTTCCGTCGCTATATTTTATATAAACTTTTGAGTAAAAATTACGTTTTATTTCATAATTTGAAGCAGTTCGTAATATATATTTTTAATCCAATTAGTTACTAAATAAATTGTGCGGATTTACTTTTTAAATATTTTTTTTACTAAGGCGAGTATTCGCGTTCTTAGTAAATTCAAGATTATCATGTATACACGACTTAAATAATTTTATCAAAAAAATAAATCGCTACATTTAATGACTTTCTATATTTTTATTTTTTTTTTTTGAGTTGGATCCATCGTTCCTCGAAATGGGGGTTGAAATATATTATGTTATCAAAAAACGAATTCGTCTTGAAACTTAGGACAACCTTTCCGTTTTAACCACCCTTCAGGTTTTTCACTTGGCTTCGGCCAGTTTATAATTAAAAAAACAACATGTTCGTCTTATCCGTCTTCAACGTTTGTAATTTACCGTTTTCCTGTTAACTTTCACAGTAAGTACTAGCTCTTAATGTTTTCAAATTTGCTATATTGTGATACACTTCTAGTCGCCTGATGATGGCAGTACGCCGAAACTATAGTCGCTGTTATTTTTAAAAACTTCAACGAATAAAACTATATGGGGAAGGTTTAGAGATTTTTGATAACATAATGACTTTCTATATCTCTATCAATTTCCGATAAGACCTCTAGTTAGAATTAATATTTGGGCTTTAAAAATTACTCAAAAGTTTCGACTTTTATTGCAAATTTCAGTGACCATTGTGTGTTGCCTATCCTCTATCCCTAGCCCCCTTAATGTATTTCTTTTTTACAAGATTCTAAGACAAAAGTAATGTACAAAGTATAAGTTGTTCCGATAGTAAGCTAGGGTTAAAGTTGTGTGACAACATTATTTGTCAAATATTGTTGATTGTTAAGGTGGAATATTTGTATAGAAAAGCCTTTCGAAACGTTAAAAAATTAGTGTCGTGTATGAGACAATGAAGAGGATAAAAATTGAACAAGATATGAGGCATGGACCAGTTTGAAGAAAACCGCCTATAGGGTAAGGCAACGAAGAATCGATTTTTGTCAACGTTATAATTTTAATAATGCCTTTTTATCCAAAAAAAGGTAATTCTTTCCAAATTGGAAATCACCTAAAAATCCAATCTAAAGGATCTGTTACCATTAAAATGTCCAAACCTCCCATGGCGTTCTCATCCAGGTTAATGCAAGATGCCATACTTCGGCCTACACTCAAGCTTGGATGCAAAAAACACCAAATGACATGACGACAGTTCCATGACCAGCAGCTTCACCAGATCTTAGTCTCTGTGAAAAAATATGGGGAATAATGAAAACTGAAGTTGAACGAGCAGCGCCACGAAATAAAAAAGACTTCCTTCGGTCAGTTTTAGAGATTTTGACCACCATCACCGAACATTATGGCGGAGACCTAGTTTCGGGTGTACCTGGACGTTTCATTTAAGTGTTTAC